ACTTGTGTTCAGTTGTATGTTATTGTGTGTTTAATGCACTCATGTACTTCAGATTTGATGCAAACACAAAACTTCATCCTCATTAATTGATGTAAAGTTGTGCTTCTCAGATCCTCCTATTAGATTAGAGCTTGGTTGCTCATCTCACCTGCATTTTCTTTCTTAGCAGCGATCTGGTTGACGATGAACAGAGTGACCAGGTCCATACTGGCAGAACCTGCGTCCGCAGGGGAAGCGGCCGGCAGAGCCAGTCCCAGGGTTTTCAGCCTCTGCTGCATTTTTCTCTTTTCAAAGAACTCCTAATAACACAGAAAAGCAGAATAATGAAACATAACTAGACACACAAAAGTGTTACCTTCCTGAAAAGCCGTGGAAGTGTTATGTTTCGGGCTCACCCGCTGCTTCTTAGCGTCGCTCCTCATCACCAGCCGGTTCCTGTAATTAACGTTAAATTGTTAGCTGAAATCGGCTAATATTAGCATTAGCACGTCGGCTATTCGCGAAAATGTTCTTTTACCTCGAACCTCCGACCCAGTTCATTTTCAGCCGCTCCACCTACTTGATTAAATCTTCAGTGTGGTAAGTAATTTGTAAATTACATAGTTTAAGTTACTCTATTTGTGTAAATATGAAAGTTTGGAGTCCGCTGCCAGCTTGAAGTTTGTGCTAGGTAGCTAACGTTAGCTAAAGCAGCAGTCAAGATGCGCAAAGAACAACCGCAGTCAGCTCGATATTATATAAATTAACATTTTGTATATGTACTTATGTTCATACATTTAGGGGTTTATTTTACTACATTTTTTTTCTTAGTGGAGATTTATGCAAATTAGTACATATTTATTGCCATAATGTCTGCATATTTAAGCATAACAATTCAGGAAACTTGAAATACAAAAAAAATTAAAAAATAAATTAAATTAAATTAAATTAAATTAATGTAAGTGGTTAGTGGGGAAGTTTAATAGTATTATAATTTTTTTTTTTAATTTGTTTATTTTTTTAACAATGCACAGTGGCTTCCAAAGATAAAATATATGGAAGTTTACTATACTTACCTTTTAAGGCTGTTTTCAAAAATTAAATTATTATTTATATTTTACATTAAACACAGCCTGCATTGACCAAAGTCCTGTCCATTGTTGCAAATTAATTTTCTATTATTATTATTATTGTTGTTGTTGTTGTTGTTGTTAGTATAGCAATCAATAAATTATTATTTTTGTTGTTATTATCAATTTATACATTTGTTATTTAGATGTATAGTTCCTCATTTGCATATTTAAACATAGAATTTCTTTAAATTGTAATACACAAAATAGATGTCTTAATGTAAGTGATCATGGTGATATAGATCAGTTTACCCCTACCCTACCCCTAAGTAGTGGTTTCTAATAAAAATGGAATTTCTCAAAACATATCCCCAAGTCTTTTACTCATACCTTAAGCCAGAAATCTACACCTCAGTAGCACTTACAAACATCAAACTTTACTTTTTTCTTTTTTAATTTTCTGTACTCAGAGGGGTCTGTTCATATCTCATTGAAGGCCATTTTATTTCTAATAATGTGGAGTAAAAAACTTTTAAAAAAATAAACAATGATGCTAAGAATGCAAATATCGTACCTAATTTACAAAGCACATTTCATAACAAAGTGGTTCCCAGAAGCAACAGGAAATAAAACACTAAAAGCATGAATACAAATAAGATAAAGATAAAAGATCGACAAAGATCATCAGTTTAAATAGCAATGTCAGATTTAGACTGTAATGTCTCATTTGCAAATTCAATTGAATTTCCCTTCTGGGATAAATAAAGTATTTTTTCATTTCATTTCATTTCATTACGTGTAATACATTTTTAAAAAATAATTATTGTATTGGAAGTAATCTACTGAGAACGTTTCATTTTGGTATGTATTGATTAATTTTATTTTATTTTTGTTTATCTTTTTCACATGTAACTTCTTCCATTCACCACATGTGTAAAATTTGGTAATATTTTACAATAATATCTGATTCTGGTTAGACATGTATTGTATGCATTTTATTTGTATATATTTTCGTAATATTTATTGAATTAAAATAGAGCAGATACAGTAGCGGCTGATTTGTTTACGTCCCTCACGTAACCAATCACGTTTCACCGGGGGCGCGACCAATGAGAAACGCCACTGTACGTAAATAAACGGCGTCAGGGTAACGGAAACAAGTACAGTACAACAGGAAGTCCGCTTTACAAAATAAAACGCCAAGTAATATCATTGATGGGGTCGAGCTTTATTTTGACACCGGAAAGAGGAACGTGCTGGGATCTTAGTTTGTCTCGCTTGACGCTGGGCACTAAAAAAAACAGTAGGATGTAGCGGTACATGTATCGGGCTTCGCTCCACATCAATCCGGCCATCAGAAGTCCCTCTCTGCTTTAATGTCGACGCGGTGAGCCGGGTCTGGGGGATGGGTGTTGGAAGGACCGTGAGCAGCGACGACTAACGTTTGACAAAATGTCCAACATCCTCGATGCGGCGGCCAAAGTGAAATGGGACCGCACGGCCGCGGCCAAGCGAGCCGTGTTTCTCGCGGCTGCCGCTTACGGTGTCAAAACGCTGTACCCCATCATCTGCAAGCAGCTCTGCAGAAACAAAGATCCCGACGGCAGCCACCGGGGCTCCAAGGCGGAGAACGGCTCCACTTGCTCGGGGAAAGGTCCCGCCGACGCCGCGGTGTACAAGAAGACGTCCCCCGGGGTGAACGCTGAATTTTTCAAGCAGATCCTGGAACTTGGTAAAATCCTCTTTCCCAAGCTCGTTTCCAAAGAGCTCGGTTTGCTCTCCTTGCACTCGGTGGCGCTGATATCCAGGACGTTTCTGTCTATTTACGTGGCCAGCTTGGACGGGAAGATTGTGAAGACGATCGTGGAGAAGAAGCCCAAACGCTTCATCATCCAGCTGGTCAAATGGCTCCTCATTGCCATCCCGGCCACGTTCGTCAACAGCGCCATCCGGTACCTGGAGTGCAAGCTGGCTCTGGCCTTCCGCACCCGGCTGGTGAACCACGCATACCGGACCTACTTCACCGACCAGACCTACTACAGAGTCAGCAACATGGACGGGAGGCTCGCCAACCCGGACCAGTCGCTCACCGAGGACGTGATGATGTTTTCCCAGTCGGTGGCCCACCTCTACTCCAACCTCACCAAGCCCATCCTGGACGTGATGCTGACCTCCTACACCCTGATCCAGACGGCCAGATCCCGGGGAGCCAACGCCACCGGGCCGACCCTGCTGGCCGGGCTGGTGGTGTTCGCCACGGCGAAGGTCCTGCGTGCATGTTCGCCCAAGTTCGGCAAACTGGTCGCCGAGGAGGCGCACAGGAAGGGCTACCTGCGCTACGTGCACTCCAGGATCATCGCTAATGCTGAGGAAATAGCTTTCTACAGAGGACACAAGGTATGCACAGGAGGAAGCATTCACTCTGGCAGGTCTTCAGGTTCATGTCATCTGCAGAGGATGTGACACATGAGAATTACAAGCAACCACAAACAATGCCAAAGTCAGCAGGGTGTCAGAATCAGCTGAGAATGGCCTGCACGGATGAATGAGCTGTCAGGTGCCAAATGCACACTGCAGCATCACTGCTAATGCTAAGGAAATAGCTTTCGACAGAGAGAAGTGTGCACAGTGTTATGTGGAGGCTGCACTGACTGTTCATGCAGACAACAGTGTGGTAATAATTAAATTAGAAGCTAACCTCATCCCCTACACCTGCATTGATGAATACATTTTTGGCATTCTGTTCGTTTTTATTTATATTGTTTCATATCACAACAGATGTCAAGTAAGGTGCACAATTACAGAGCAAAATCCAATAAATCAGACAAAGGAAATGGATGAAAAACTCCCCTTTAACTTATAAATTCTCTGCAGAACCAGACTCAGGGAGAGCGGACATCTGCCTCAACCAGTTAGGGTTGGAGAGAGCAGGATAGCAATCAGACAAATATTACACAAAAGATAAACACTGGGGAGGCCAGATCAGAACTCTGCATGTCTTCAGTTTATATTATTTGCACACTGCATGACACATGAGAATTACAAGCAACTACAAACAATGCCAAAGTCAGCACAGTGTCCTAACAGGTCGGTTCAGAATGGCCTGCACAGATGAATGAGCTCACTTCCCCAAATGCACACTGCAGCATCATTGCTAATGCTAAGGAAGTAGCTGTCATCAGACTGAAGGCATGTGCTATATGCTGTGGAGGCTGCATCTACTGTGCAGGCTGGCAGCAGTGTGGTCGTAATTAATTAGGAGAGTAGCTGCATTTAGTTTAGCACGTGAGCCGACATTAATAAATCAGCATTTGGTCGTTAGCTGGTGTGTTTCTGAGCATGACACACAATCTAGTCAACTATTACACTGATTCAGATCAGTTTTATTTATAATGTGGCAGCTCACGGCATATGCCATCATGTCTGAAGGGGATCTACATCGTAAACCTGCAGCAAAACCAGGCTCAGGGAGGGTGGACATGTGCCTCATCCAGTTGGGGTTAGAGAGAACAAGATAGCAGATAGAAAACAGACACCATACATCCGAGAGTAGGAAACTCTGGGGAGGTCGTTGAACTCTGCAGTTTCTTTAGTTCATATAATTTGCTAACAACAGAGCACATGACGATTTCAGAGTCAGTGTAGTGTTGCAATATGTCAACATCCCTACCCTACAAACGGGCCAGTAGGGGATTGCAAGCACAAATGAGTGAGCCGTCACATCCCAAAGGTGCCCTCCAGGATCTTTGCTCATGCTGAGGAAATAGACTCTCTGCAGACATAAAGTATGCACAGTGTTATGTGAAGCCTGCCTTACATTAAGCAGGCGAGTTGCGTACTGGTAGCAGTTCTTAAATTGGAGAGTATTCAGTTTAACATGTCAACCTACATGAATACATCAGCACTGGGCCCTCAGCTGGTATGTCTAGTTAAATATTACACTGATGTCAGAGAGAGAAGCCCAATAAATCTGACATCAACCCATCAGCTGGACAAACCTCCTGCAGAAACAGGCTCAGACAGGACGGTCATCCGCCTCGACCGGCTGGGGTTAGAGAGAGATGGTAAACAAACATTGCACAAGAGGACGATAAACACCGGGGGAGGTCGGCGAGGCCACACCAGCAATTGCTTCAGTTCATTTAATTTGCGGACCACATGGCAATCCTAAGTGACTGCAGCGTTCGCAATATGTATACATCAGGGTTATTATCTCTGTGATTTACCCGCAAACAGGCTCAGATAAATGAGCTGCCTCGTCCTCTGCAAGATGAACTCAGTGCCGTACGCTGTAATGTGCTCGTGCATCGCAGGTGGAGATGTGTCAGCTGCAGAAGTGCTACCGGGCGCTGGCGGAGCAGATGAACCTGATCCTGTCCAAGCGCCTCTGGTACATCATGATCGAGCAGTTCCTCATGAAGTACGTGTGGAGCGGCAGCGGCCTCGTCATGGTCGCCGTGCCCATCATCACGGCCACCGGCTTCGCTGACAACGGTAGGAACAAGACTTTTTACTAGTTTGCTTTTTTTTTTGTACGCTGTGTGTAGTAAACCTTAACCACACCGGTTTCATTCTGCGCTGTGAGTACACTTTGTCAGTTCACGTGAGGGTCAGCAGTGTCTCCAAAGCAACAGTTCGCTGCTTCCCCCTCAAACAGGAGCCGATTAGCATGTGTGAAAACGGTAGCTGCCTCCCACACCTCGCCGATGACTTCTCAGGATTAAAAATAAAGCTATAACTGAGTCCTTTTGTTTGCTGCTGTTCCAGTGTAGCCACGGATATTTAAATAAATGATTTCCGTTGCGTCGATGAAAAACACACACACACAGGCTTTCCATTGGAGGACAAATCAAAACATTTTTCTGCTTAAGCGAATGCCTCCATTGTGGCTTTCTACCAACTAGTTGTCTTGTCCTCACTCCTCTCTCTTTTATCTGTCATCTAGAAACAGCCGACGGACAGACGCAGGTGATGGTGAGCGAGAGGACGGAGGCGTTCACGACCGCCCGAAACCTCCTGGCCTCCGGAGCCGACGCCATCGAGAGGATCATGTCCTCCTACAAAGAGGTGCGGACTGCATGAGCTGCAGTGAATGTGACCTCGCTAGTATCAGAACTTCATACTGGAGGTTTACATTTTGTAATTAATCAGCAGAAAGTGACGGTAATAGAAAGACATAAAGATAACGAAAGAAAAGCAGCAACACGGACAAAGTACATCAACAGAAATGTAATAATACAGGACGTATTTGAGCTATTTTTCAAGACAAGATCTAATAAAGGTCCAGGCCTGTTCCATTGATAGCAACTCCAGAAAGTCATTATCTACAGAAACAGTTTGGTTTGTGTTGTTTCCAGTTCATTGAAATGATCCATTCAGCTGATAGTGAGGACAGCACGATTACACTATGGACAACTTTTGGTTGCACAATGACCATTTTCACACCTAGTATGCAACTCGATATCTATATGAGAAAGAGTAGCATCCATCTGAAGCAGCTCGGATACAAAGATCAGTTTCCATGCTGGTGATTTGTAAGGCCGTGCTATCAGGTTTAGCCAGTTTCATTGCAAACTTGTTCAAGTATCCTCTATGGAAACAGCACAGCCATGACCAGAATAGAACAAACTCAGAAAATTGTGCAGTATGACAAAGTTATATGTATAAAAAAAGTAATTATTTAATTGCTTATGTTAGACACATTATACACAGCCTGCAGTTCAGCCAAAAAGTATTTTTGTTACGTGACTGTTGGTGACAGCTGATAGAGTCTCAGTGCACAGAGGAGCACATTAATTCTTGCTTGTTGCACTATTTGAGGTGTGCAAATGGCTATTTTTAGCAAAGTTTTAAATAAGACGTAGAATAAACAGACTTTGGTGAACGATGACAATTTTTACAGACTGTCGGAAAATTGAAAATCACATGATTGCTTCGGGCTGCAAGGTGGCTCAGTGGTTAGCATCGTTGCCGCGCAGCATAAGGTTGTCAGTTTGCATCCCGGTGAGGACACCCGGGATCTTTCTGCATCTTTCTCGTGCAGCGTGGGTTCTCTCCGGGTTCTCCGGCTTCCTCCCACACAGTCCAAAAACATGTTGAGGTTAATTGGTGATTCTAAATTGTCCGTAGGTGTGAATGTGAGTGTGCTTGGTTGTCTGTCTCTAAGTGTAGCCCTGTGATAGACTGGTTACCTGTCCAGGTGAACCTGCCTTCACCCTGAGTCAGCTGGGATAGACTCCAGCCCCCCACGACCCTAGTGAGGATGAAGCGGTGTATAGATGATGGATAGATGGATGTAGAATAAACAGATTTTGATGAACAATCACAATTTGTACAGACTGTCGGACAATTGAAGATCACATGGCTACTTCTGTTTTTGCAGCTTCTGGCTCTGATAAATGTTGTAGTTTCAGGAATTTCTTTTAAAAACACAATCTTGTCAACACCACCTTCAGGGGGTTTACACATGCTAACATATGCTGTGTGGTGTATCGCCGATTGTAGCTCAACTGAAGTTTCACATAAGAAGTAATATTTTCCTCTCATTTCTTATGCAAAGGCACAGCAGGATGTTTTCCTTTTAGCAAAGGTTTTGCAGCCTTTTGTGTTTATTTGTCTATTGGAACTGTACAGGAGGTATGTGAGATTGTTTGCAAGTGGAGACTTGTCAATTTTATGACAAAGATTGTGGGTTTCCAGCAGGACATTTCCTCATATTATTACTAAAGAAGTCAACCAGCAGACGATCGTTTGGATTTGAATGGAAACAGATGTTTTGGATGGATCGGTGCACGTTTTGATTGACTGACAGATGTATATTCCATATCCATCTGTCTTTATCCATCGAACCTCGCCGTGCCTGCACAGGAATTCCAGCACAGAAAGAAATCAGTGAATGAAAGGCCTTGTTCATTGAGGGCCAAATCCCTGATCTCTTGTTGCATTTTAATCCAAAAAAAAATAAAAAATAGCAAGACCCATTCATGCATTCTCTCTCTCAGGCTGCATTTTGAGGTCCATAAGAGGATTTGGCTGCAGCACATTTGCGGTGAAGCTGTGTTGCAGCGCTGGGCTAACTTTGATCACATGCCACCCTGTGTCTTTGGCATGTACTTTCCCAGACTCTTTGTAAAATATGTGTGATTTGGTGAGTTTGCAGCTTGTGTTTGTTCGTGAGCAAGTTCAGCAGTCTGCGCCTGCGGTGACGAGGAGGAACTGAAACTCACGTGGGCGCCGGCAGGTTGTCGTCATCTCAAAAGCTTCCCATTGCCAAACAATCTTGTAAGAACAAATGAACACAAGGCTCTGAAATGTACATAACAGTTGCAATTTTTTAGCATCGTGCATTTTTTCGCAGCACGGCTGATTTAACACGTCCCCGGCGGATACGAGTTTTAGCTCCTTGCTGGCCGAGCGTTCAGATGCAGCGCAGCAAGCCCCTGCATGCAAGGCCAAGAGACGTGTGACGGTGTGCAATTTACCAGGCAGCAGCAGCAGCAGCAGCAGCAGCAGCGATGGAGCACATTCCTCAGGCAGCGTGCCCAGCTCACGCCTCCAGACGCTCTGCTTGTTTAGTACGCCGGCGTCTGTGGCTGATTGTTGTGTGTGTGTGTGTGTGCTCAGATGGGCCCATGACGAGTCCCAGTTCAGGGGAGCTTGTTACTCATCTCGTAAGCATTCAGTTTTTTCTTCTTCGAAGGTCCGCTTCATTCCTGTCTGTTAGGTTTTCTGTCTTTGTGCAGCTTTACAGGGTCTGTGCTTCCTCATCTAAGGTTGCTGACGGGTTTCAGCTTTGCACTAAACATCATAATCAGTCTGGAAGGAGGCAGAACTGCATGTTCAAGCCGCTATCTTTTCCAGGTTTTATTGGCGGTCAGATTTCAGGGTCGACTTCAGATGTGGCTGTGATGCGTTAAAACAGACCTGAAAGCTTTCATAGACATCAGCTCCTACGGACACTCTTATGTCACTGCAGGTCAGCCAGCAGTGGAACCTGGAATGTCTCCTTCTCTCAGGGCTTAGCTTAGCTGTGAATAATCCTCCATCTGTTGATCTTTCAGCTCTGCACTTCTGCATCTCTTCTCACTTTCTCTCTCCCTGTCTGTCACAGTGTTTACTAGAGCTCCACTCATGCAAGATTTTTTGGGGGGTTGATTTTAGAGAGTGAAAAAATTCTGATATCAGCTAATGTTTATTATTAGGTAAACTGATATTTTGTTCAACAACCATTTGAGCCAATCAAGTGTTTTCTGTAACTCTCAGTCAGACTTCTTTGGCCCACTTCTCATCAGCAAAGTGCTCTAATTTGTCTGGGACAGTTTTTTATTTTATTTTTTTTATTAATCTTTTCAACCACAATTCAAAAGTAATGTCTTATTTCACTTAATTATAATTTAGAAAATTTTTATTTATTATTACTTTTTTCCGTTTCTAGTTATTTGAGTGGCTATTGTGAATTTTGCCTTTACTTTAATGGAATAATATGAATAAATTAGAGGACGACTGTAGGTTAGCTCTAGTATTGAACGCTATTAAGGCAAATAGAGAAAGGATGTATATTGGCCTGATTTATTTATTTTTGTGTGTGTTTGTACTTAGTGACACAAAAACCCAGAATGCACCCGATCAGCACCTGTCCTATCTTTCTATTTAAACCTAATGAAGAGACCACTTCCTGCTAATGCACCTGTACGCTAGTTTTGTGGCTCATCCAGCCGTGCGGATCAGGTGACACGGTGGTGATCCAGTTCTAATAACACAACCGCTAACGCAAACCACCACCAACAAAACACAACCTTTTCATTCATACTGACCAAACCTGATTGCAACAGATGTCAAAGAAATTGCGTTCAGGGTGTTCAGAGTGCCACCAACACAAACATTATTTTGCATCTAATTTGCATGTTTTTTTCCTGCACATTGCGTGAGAGGACAATCCCAATCATTTCAAACCAGACAGTCAAGTCCAATCATTATATCCTGTATTTGGATAATCGTTAAGTTTAAACAGAGCTGTGTTCCTGGTGGTGATGGGAGTTGTTTCTACCTTTGCCAGCTCCACATCCTGTGTATTATTTTGAGGTTGAATTTTGGCAGCCAGCAGGGTAACAAGCACACGAGCGGGGATGTGACTGGCTGGAAGAAGCAGAGCCGGTCACTTCTCCGCTGCCCCACATGGTGTCTACGACTTCTCAGAAGTGGTGTTTGTTGTTTAATGCGATCAAGCTGTGTCAGCAGCCTGCACTGCCTCGCTGCAGGGTGCACTGCTCCAGGCCAAAGCCTCCTTTTACTCCTTTCCCCTTAAAGCCAGAAATGTATTTAGTACTCGTCTCATATTTATGTCATTATGGATTGGTGAAGTTGTTACTGTTGCTGTGATTCAGCTTGTGAGCTGTGGAGATGTTGTCTGAATACACGGTTTTATTTCTGGTTGTGCAGGTTTATGTATGTCAGACACACAGGAGAGCATTGACAATCTGTGGAATTAGATGACAATTCATCATATTGTTTAATCTTGCGATTCATTATAGATACACAGGCACTAAATATCTGTGTTTTCATTAACCCTCTGAACCCCAAAGCCAGCCGGCAAGTTTGACAGGCATGTTATGTTTAAAAAATGCCCAAATTACACCATTTTCAACTGTACGAAAGCTCTCAAACTAATCATGTGTGGTTTTGTCAGGAAAACTAACCAAATCTAAGCTTAAAATTTGAGTTATTCATCAAAATCTTTTTATTCTACATGTCTAATTTAAAATTTTTCCCATTATATTACATGCGTCACTAACCTGTAAACAATAAAACATGTTGCGCTCCTCAGTGCAGCTGAAAAGTCATTAGTGACTCATTTTGTTTTGTGTTTAGAGGGAATTAGCAAAAGCTACCATGCTAACATGCTACACCAAGAAAATGAACATTGTTACCACACTGTCCCGGCTAAACGTTAGCATGTTAGCGTTGTCAGTATTATTATGAACCTGTCGTAAAGCTAGCATTAGCATACAGATCAGAACTATTACTGTGTACAGGCACAGTCGTGATTCATATTCATCTATAAAAATAAAGAAAAATTACACTCCTCTGTGTAGCTGAGAAGCCATTAGTGACTCAGTTTCAACCAACAGTCGTGTGACAAAAATTCAGGGACTGTTCGGTTGAACTGCAGGCAGTGTTTACACCGACTACATGGGAGACAAGTATGGAAAAAAAGAGAAATGTAAGTAGTAAAATACATACAGTATGTAGCGTTGCCGTTTTTCCCAGGGTTGGTAACATGTGGGATCATTTGGAAAAATGTTCTGACAGTTTAAATTCTGCTTTTTTTCTGATTTATGGCTGATATCATTGTTATATGTGACATTTTTGAGTCGTCTATACGTCTATCCATAGTTGTGTTGTTTCCATAGAGGTGTAGGACTTTATTTTGCAGTGAAAAATGAGTCCACAATGAACAAAAAGCACCCAGAAGTTTTAGAGAGTTAGCTCTTACCTCTACCTAACTGTTCAGACTTGCCCGCATGCCCACTTTCCATTCACCACTGAGGCTTATCTTTTAATCAAGTCATTCATTTCTGTTTATTTCTTTATTCGCTGATATACTCCACAATGTTTCCACGTATCTCCTGGCAACTGCACACCAAACCTCTGAGATTCAAGTAGCCCCGGTTTGCTTTAACTCACACACACACAGTTTTATCAGCACACGGCCTTGACAGTGACTTGTGGGTCACGCTAACATGTTTCTGAACTCGACCACAGAGCGACCTTTCACCGTCGTGTGTTTGTCCGGACAGGTCACAGAGCTCGCCGGCTACACTGCAAGAGTCCACAACATGTTTGTGGTGTTCGAGGACGTCCAGAAGGGTGTTTACAAGCGCTCGTCTCTGTCGGCCACTACAGGAACAGAGAAGAAGAGCAAGCCGGAGATGCACATAGATGGACCGCTGGAGATAAAGGGTAAGCCTCATCTGATGTATGCACACACACACACACAGCACCTCTTTGTGTATAAAAATAAATATAAAGACAGGAAGAGCCAGTCATCTGTCCCCGTCTCCACACACCCCTGGATACTGTTGCCATGCTGGGCAAACTTTTACCAACTGTGCCGTGGAGCACAGATCAGCTGCAGCTGTCTGATTGATTTTTTACGGAGAGCTGTGACGATAATGTTACAGTCGTTGAGTTGAATAAAGAAAAATGCATCAGCAAGATTTTCCAAGTCTTGCTGAGACACAAGTTCTTTAATTATTGATGTGTTCTTTAGCTGGCAGTTGGCTCACTTGGTAATCATTCTGGTGGGATTCATGTCTGTGTCCATGACCGCACCAAGGTTTTCTGGCTTGGTTTGTGGTTTTTAACATCACAGGTTTAAGCTGATTGCTGACTTTTCATCCTAAACAGTTTCTTCAATTTTGTCCTTTGTTTAAATGAAGAAAATTCTGACGCAGCTGATGGTTGATTCATTCAATGCAACTAATAGGCCCTTGTGTGGGATTAAAGTCCCTGGTGACATAGGCTGGTTGTGGTTTGGTTGGTGTTTTGTTTATTTTTCATCACCTGAGCTCGTGGAAACATGTTGATGTCGAACAGAAGAGGACCCAGAATGGAGCCTTGTGGAACTCCACTGGGGTTTTTTTTTTGTCAATTCAGAGTAGTCCCTGTCCTTTAAGTAGGATTCAAACCAGAGTCTAGATACTGCTCTAGAAAGTCCCACCCAGTTGTGGCTTATTGTCTTGCCATAATTTTTGTATAGATTATCAGATTTAATCGAGCATGAGTTACAACCGGAGTTAGGTTAAAATTCCAACCCAGTCGTTGTAGCGTTTTGCTGATCTTAAAGGCCCAGATTGGTTCTGTAAAGATATATGTTGTCCGATATATGCCAAGATTTACACATACTTTTAAAGATGATTCTGCTATTCTAGAAATCATCACATAGTTTGTCCGGCAGAACAGGTCCCACTCCATTGTTTAGGTACTCGCAGCACATGTAGCAGAGCAGCATCACAGCTGAGCAGACGGCGGTGCGGAGTCAAGCTTTGTCTTTATGGCAAACTAAGTTTATAAAACACATCGCTGGAATGTAAAAACACAATGACCCCATATTATTCCCATCAGTGTAAGCTTACCATGTATATAAACGGTGTCGATGATGTAGTGATATCAGAATTCGGTAATCAGTATTGGCCCCAAAAATCGAGTAACATTTTGGGTGTGCAGTTTGCTATCACTCAACAAAACTGGGCTTCTCTCGTGCACATTGTCTGCAATTTCCCTTCTGAGCTGCGCCGTGTGACCAAATGTTTTGTTTAACCAAACCCTTATCTGGTGCGTCTACCTTACATTACAAGCAGTGAACTGCCTGAAGGCCAAAGACTGGATTTACTGTATACATGTCCTTGTGTAAACATCCATTCGACCCTGGAGTGGAGCTGACCTTAGAGAGTTCTGCTAAGCTAAGCGATAAATTAAGTAGCAAAGAGGGATTAATATTTTTAACCCCATAATTCCTCCTATGCAAGCATTAACCCCATCCATGTTCATGCTTAGCAGACAGAATCTAATCCTGCATTTCTGCATGTTTCCACTGACGTTTCTTCTCTACGTTTTTCAGGTGAAGTTATTGACGTGGACAAAGGCATCGTGTGCGAGAACGTCCCGATCATCACGCCCAACGGAGACGTCGTCGTGTCTTGCTTGAACTTCGAGGTAAGACGGCTGCGCTCGGCGTCAAACTTTAATTCGCTCCCGTTTACACCGCAAAGGCTCCTCTGAGCTTCGGCGGTTGCACGGACGCGGTTTCATCATCGGATTCCCACGAGGAGTTTGGTCTACGCGGCGTTTACTAGCTTTTAAGAACGATCCCCTGTGGTCTCATTAGGAAGCGGATACATCCTTTGGGTGTCAGCGTGTTGCTCTGATCAGGAGGCCGCCTCCTGCAACGAGCTGATGAGGACTTAAAATCACACACGAATGAGAGTCAAATGCGACTTTCTGAACCGCTCAGATCCAAACAGCACATATTACTTGCATGTAATGTGCTGTGCGTCGTGCCCCGTCTCTCCTGAGGGGCTACCATGTGGATATAAATTATAAATACTAATATAAAAACCCATTTATCCTGCATTCAGCACATGCTTGGTTCATTTTGCTCTTCGAATTTAAAAGGTCTATGCATGTTTTGAGGTCTGTTCTCTGTATCTGGATAATTAAGTTAGCTTGATTTCATTGCTGATAATTTGGCACAAGTCTGGATTTCTTAATTCTTCAAAGCTGCCTTTAAAGTTCATGCAGAGCTGTGGTCAGAGCGGCCGACAAAGAACATCACGATGCTCAACTCGTCATGACTCCAGCTGTAGAATAAAGGTCGAAGCTTCAATGAAAGATCTGATTTGACCTCAATTTAACAATAAAACTTCTGAGTAAGTAGCTTCCAAACACCAGCAGCGACTCATGTGTGCAAACTACTGCTAACTCTGGGTTGAGATCAAATCAACCTTTGGGTTTAAGACTTTGAATGCAATAAAAAACACATATTTTCCACATTTTTTTCTAAATATTCACACATGACAGATGGAGTAAAGCACCAAGCATGTAATAATCCATGTATGATATACATTAAAGACAGAGGGAGCTTAAATATAGCCGGCCGAAGCTGAGATTCCTCAATAATTCACTAATACAGAGACACATTTTGACTCTTATTGACAATATTTTTTGTGCTTTTACGTCTCAGTGGGCTGATTAGTTACCACGTCCACCTCTGGCAAGGATTTTACCATTTAGCCAAGAGTTGTTTCATTTATCTTACAGTTTAAAACCTCTTTTTAAATCTTAATAAATAGATCTACTGTAGCTTTTCATTTACTTCGTTTTGTTGCAGTGACACTTGAGGCAGTGCTAAAAAAGCAGCATTGACAGGATAATTGTTCTGAAAAATAATTCATTTGACAGTTTCCCTGACATGATATTATAAGAAATGCTGATTTTATGCAGGTTTCAGATACACCACACTATGCTGCTGCATGTTTTTGACATTTTGTTTGATGCACGAAGCTGCATTCAGAGCACAACAATTACGCCTTCAGTTTTACACTTTATTTTTTGCATTGCTTTTGTACTTTCTCCAGACAAAACGCTGTACATGCCGCGCTCCTGCTGCCTGTCTGACGGCTGCAGGCGAGCTGGAGGCATCGAGCGGCTCCCAGCTGCAGCTCACAATGCTTCAGTTTTACAGACGGAGAACAAACACCTACAATTTTTTTTTTTTAAAGCGAGACTCTCCGGGGAGAAATTTTCCAGCCTTCTTTTGTTGACATTTCAAATCTCCTGTTTGCAGTGTGAACTCCTCGTCAACAGCTGCACGCCCACTCATGCTGTCTGTTAGCATAGTTTTGCATCCTAATGACGCATCGTAATTACACTGACGGCTGGATTTAATGAATGGTCTCTGCCCGTTAGGTGGAAGAGGGCATGCACCTCCTCATCACGGGGCCTAATGGATGCGGGAAGAGCTCTTTATTCAGGATCCTCAGCGGCTTGTGGCCCGTCTACGGCGGCCGGCTGCACAAACCCTCTCCCCAGCACATGTTCTACATCCCTCAGAGGTACGCGCACCAACGCAACACTCGCAATAATCCAATCTCCCGCAGCAGAGAACAACTGCAGGGTTTGATCCTCGTACCAGTGAACCCAGTAATCTAATCTATTGTAACAGGATCTGTGTGAGTAGAAACCAGAGCTCTGGGTGGAGTGAAATATTTACCATCTGCATCAGGCCGATAATTTCTTTCTTACACTTCCTAAAGAGTCCAGAATGTGTAGGAAGATGAACCCTCTGACCCTCGACTTACCGACAGTCCTTGAACTGCTCGTCTCTGCTGTGTTGTTCCGTCGAGAAAAATAACCAAATCGAAGCTTAGAATTAGGATATTTTATCAAAATCACTTCATCCCTCATCTAGAAAAAACACCCAAAATAAACTGTGTGTGAAAAATAAATACCTAGAATCACTTGACAACATTTCAAGGATGTTTCGGCTGAACTGGGTTGAACTGCAGGCGGTGCTGTCTGTGGAAAAAATATAATTAAATAAACATGAAAAAAGGGAAATATCTATAGTATGTAAATTCACCACTTTTCCAGGATTGGTCACAGATGTTTGCACTTGGAAAAATGTATTTAGCACTTAAATCTTGAATTTTTTTTCCCACAATTCTTCCGTCAGATCAATGTATGAATTTTCAGTTACTGAGTTTCTATGAATTTTCATAATTAAATGTGCATAATGTGGGTTTGACAAACAATTTTCTGTGACAACAAATTTTTAAATGAGACATGTAGATCAGCGGTCTCCAACCTTTTTTGCACTACGGACCAGTTAGAACTTTTTCTACGGACCGGTCATTGCACACATAAAAATAATATTTTGTGAATTTGTGAAAATATTTCAGCAGCTGATTAATCCAACAAAAAAATAAATAAAATAAAATAAAGATTTGCTGCTTTTCTTTTTGGTCTGTTGAGATAAGCAAACCTAAAATGCCTCCTTGGCCTCTGGGAACTTGCAATGGTTTTGTTGTCTTTGTTTACAAACTAAGTTACACAATAATTGAAAAAAAACTTGATTAATCTGTAATGAAAATAATCATGAGTCGCAACCCTGTTAAAGTGATAGTTTAACCTGAAACCATTTGAATAGTTTCACAAACGAATAAAACGACCATTTCGCTTCTGTTTCAGCATCGAGTCTCTCCCACTTTCTAAAGAAGCTCTCCTGAGATGTTTTTTTTTTTTTAAATATATACATTTCAGCTTCTTTTAACGGCCGAGCATGAAAACTGACAGTCAAGTCCGGGAAACAAGCACAGACAGAAGTGACAGGAAGACGATCTAGTACTTTTTCAAAATAAAGCACCCTGCAGACTGCTCTGGAAATAAACATAAAACTTTTTTTTTCTTTCTGTGCGGTCCGGTACTGGTCCGCAGCCCAGTGGTTGGGAACCGCTGATGTAGATTACCACGATTTTGATGACAATTTTAAGCTTTTGATTTGGTTCTGGATGTAGCAGCACGTCACAGATAAATAAATACAGGACTTTCAGATATTTAAAAACCAGCAGATTCCTCTGTTTTCATGTTTTTTGTCTCTTATAAATGGTGCTATTTTGGGATAATTTAGTGCGACAATAACTTGTGAGTGTTAAAAATCCAACACGTATCTAAACATGTCGTCACATGGGTGGTTGTGGTGTCAGTTCTCTAAACCCTTAGCAGGTAGGGTGACTGAGAAATACTCCAACAAGGTCAGGAGCAGGGCAGCAACCCTCTAAACTGGAGTGAACTGAACTGACCAGTCTAAGACAAACCTTCAAATGTAATCGTACCCATGGGAGGGCGGCTCAGAAGTGCACACTCAGCCGACTGCCTCCCGCGGAGCAGTGAATATTTTATACATAGGATGAGACGGCCACCTGGCAGCTGTAACAGAATCCAACGCGCTCTCCACAACAGCAGCAGCCGAGGCAGAATCAGTGTCTTTTTCTGCCAGCGTTTGTTCTTTGAAGTGTCTGAAAGTCGCGCTCTTTTGTACGCACACACCCTCTTTGTTGGGCCGCTCTTTAGTGCACTTAAGGAAATGAGGCGCTGACAAAGACAGTGGATGAAGCATGAGTGTGTGTTTGTGTTCCTTCAGGCCGTACATGTCGATGGGCTCGCTGCGGGACCAGGTCATCTACCCCGACTCGGTGGAGGACATGGCAGCCAGAGGCCTGAGTGACAAGGACCTGGAGGCCATTCTGGACATCGTCAACCTTAACCACATTGTCACCAGAGAAGGAGGTAGGAGGGTGATAAAGGCACGATCAATCTATCAATACGGCTTCATTCATCCCTGTAGGAGCAGCTGTAGGCAGCCAATCGCCCTGATTAGCAGACATCGTAGAGAGGACAAAAATGGGATAAACGGAGCTTTGGGGTTCAAGAAAAACTACAAAATCGTACGAAAATAGCTCCTGAAAACAAAAACTTGCTTTTAAACTCGCCAAAGTAGCCATAAAATAAGAGACTGTGCTGTGATTAACCACTACAGAACTAAATCAGCATCTTTTGACATTAAGAGGTTCTAAAATGTGACTTAACCTCTTGAACTGCCAGCGCTTTTAGCTCCTGACACATTTTTACCCGCTGTGGAGTCATCTCTCACTGCAATATGAAGTCCTGCACCTCCATGGAAACAACACAACCATGACTAGTAGTAGAGGGAATCAACAACATTTTTCCTCACAGGTGTCACCAATACTGGAAGAACATGGTAACTCAACATACTGTAGACCAGGGGTTCTCAACTGGTCTCACCCTGGGACCCACATTGTCCCATGGTCATTAAGTCGCGACCCAGTTTTTGTTAGAATTCAATATTCGGAGATCAAAATTGAAATCCCGATTCCAGCACAGCGAACGACTAGTCGACTATTCGGCTATTTGGGTCCAGCCCTAGTACGAAAATCCACATTTTAAATACTCGGGGTCATTTTTGCCATCTTGCATCCCAACATCAACACAAACTTAAAATGAACGTCAAACAAACTATGGTTACCATGCCTGTCAAAATAAAAGTCCAACCTGTCCGCGATCCACCCAGAACAGGTCCGCGACCCACTTTTGGGTCACGACCCACTAGTTGAGAATCACTGCTGTAGATATTTTACTGTTGACTTTGGAAGTTGTTCCATATCTGCTCCGTGTGAACACAGCCTGCAGTTCATCTGAAAAGTAATTTCATATTTGTCACTAATGGCTTCACGGTTGTGTCGAGGAGCTCAGAATTTTTTACATTTTCCAGAATCTGGTTAGAGAAAAGTGTTTATTGCTGGCAAAATGTTAAATGAGAAATGTAGAATAAAGGGATTGTAATAAAATCTTAGAATTCTGAGTAACTAACAATTGTTTTGATATTCGATTAATCTTTTTCTTTTCTTCTTTTTGTAAACAAACATTTTAGCCTTTATCTATCTAGTTAAGTTATTAAGGACAAATTTTCCTGAATAAAGAGAAAAACACAAGAGAATTGTGCATTTCACGGCATTTTATTTGACTAATTTCTGTAAAACAGCTCAAATCAGAAGGACCACAATGAGCTTTATATCGACCTCGTCAGTGTGAAGCTTTTTCAATTCAAAGCATCAAATGTGGAGCACCGCTACAGCTCACCTGGTTGAGCTGGCGTCCCATGTATAGAGGCCATCGTCCCCGATGTGGAGGTCATGAGTTCGAATCCCGCTCATGGCCCTTTTCCCCCATTCTTCTCCCCCACTTTCCTGTCTCTCTCTTTCAACTGCAATCAAGCAAAAAGGCCAAAAAAATAACTTTAAAAAAAAAATCAAACACTTGGATTAGGTCCAAAGTCACGCATTGAAATGAAAAGATCAGACAATTCCTCTTGTTTTTACAGTTTCTAGCTCTGATAAATGGTCTAATTTTGGTGATTTTCTTCAGTGATAACATGTCTTTAAAATCCACCTGCAGGTTTTAGGTTCTCTGAGGGTTCACTTTAAGTTTTCTGATTAAACAGTACGTCACAGATGTAGGATTGCTGAAAAATAGAACATCTGGTGAATCTTTGTGTTCCGGGCTCTGATAAACGGTGACATTTCAGGAAATCATTTTAGGTTTGCATGCTTTTTAAAACACTCTGGCAGGTTTTGAGGTTCAGGGCCTTCAAGCTTCCTCTGGCTGGTATAATTTAGCTGTAAATATTTACTTCATACCAACCTTTCGTTTGTTCAAAAACACTCTATGTTCTTACTGTACACATCCATAATTATTCTGCTTTCTAAGGTTATTACTGTATGACTGTATCACCTAATGCTACCACTGACATTAATGCTTTCATGCTTTCCTTGAGTTTGACAAATCCATTATTATTATTTTCTTGGAGTAAAATCTACTGAGTTTGTGTGTTTTTTCCTCATCCTGTCTTGTTTATTCTGTTTCTGTTAAATGCTATAACTGTGTACATATGCTGTTATTGTCTTAAAGGTTCTCTTGAAAATAAGATCATTGTTCCTAATATAGAATTTCGCACGAACTATGAATACAGAACAGGTTTGCTGGAGTTTGAGATCAAACAGAGCAGGTTGTGTATTCGTACCAGGCAGACTCTTGGTCTTGCGTATTACGTGTGTTGCCTAAACTTGAGTGTGTGGCTAATTGGCAGCCGCTCTCCTGCCGATGCCAAACAAACAGGACTATTGTTGAGAGCCAGCTACTGTACAAAGGCTTAGTGCTGCAAGAGGGTTTAATGTATGAATGGCTGCACTGTGGAGATGTTGGGAAAGGTTCCTGAGCAAATTAATTTACGCACTTGGATCATCACTTGTGGATGTGGTCACACAAGCACATGCAACGGGACTGAAAAGGATTTTCTGTTTAGTCTGTAGCAGAAAACAGTCGCAGTGTTTCACGTGGCACCTAAACCAGAGGAACCTTTTAATAAACATCACGCAAGAGTCTTTCACTGTCGGTTATCCTGTTCATTTTGGCCGTTTATCTTCACATGAAAACTGTCAGTTTAAGTATGCATTAAGGTGTTTAACTCTTCATGTAAAACTTCCCTCTAACCTTGTTTTCCATGTTGTGTTTTGTCCAGGCTGGGACACCGAGCTGGACTGGAAGGATGTGCTGTCAGGAGGCGAGAAGCAGAGGATGGGCATGGCTCGCATGTTCTACCACAAGTGAGTAGAAACAGACTCGCTGTTGCCGGTTTAGCATCACGAGACACTGATGGAGAGTAAAACTTCTGATAATTAACCTTCTTCGCCATACTATTGGCAAAGTTCTGCTTATGGCATCATTGTGGTCAGACCAACACTTTGGTCCAGACTGAACAACCTCAGTAATTTAATATAAAAGCCTTTCTTTAGAATTGTCATCAGTTTATTAGATATTAGGGGGCTGTAGGGTGGCTCAGTGGTTAGCATCGTTGCCTCACAGCTAGAAGGTCGCCGGTTCGCGTCCCGGTGAGGACACCCGGGATCTTTCTGTGTGGAGTTTGCATGTTCTCCGGGTTCTCTCCGGGTTCTCCGGCTTCCTCCCACACAGTCCAAAAACATGTTGAGGTTAATTGGTGATTCTAAATTGTCCGTAGGTGTGAATGTGAGTGTGCTTGGTTGTCTGTCTCTAAGTGTAGCCCTGTGATAGACTGGTGACCTGTCCAGGGTGTCTCCTGCCTTCACCCTGAGTCAGCTGGATAGACTCCAGCCCCCCATGACCCTGGTGAGGATTAAGGTGTATAGATAATGGATGGATGGATGGATATTTTGGCTTCTGACCTGCAGAGCAAAACCTCTCAACTTTAGCTGTGGGTTGTTTTTAGTGCTAATTAGCTGATGTTAGCTCGGATGGACACAGCTGTACAAAATATACCTTCTAAGCATCAGCATGTCCCTGCTGTCACTGTGAGGATTTAAGCTTTGTCACTGTAAAGTTTCCATGCTTTAGCATATATATTAGAGTCAATATGATGCCCATGCACAGCCTCAAAGAGCTGCTAGCAACGACTGTCCTGTTTCACAGGATGAATCACTGCTAAGAAAGCTGCTGCTGTACGGAACCATCATCACTGGTTTTCAGTGTTTTCATGATTGCATGCTGATAAAATATCACTTCAACCCCAAAACCCAGCAACAGGTTTGCCAAACATATGCCAACAAAAAAATTACCTTTTCGGCTGAACTGCAGGCAGTGTTACAAAATATCTAGAATTTGTTTGGTCACCATTTTTTCCAGTATTGCTAACACCTCTGAGAACTTGATAAAATGTTGATATGCATATTCCAGGTTTTTTTTCTCCATTTTGTTTAATTTAAGTAATCAACATTAGTTTTGTCTTTTTTATGATTTGTGTCACTATTAATTTGTTATACAGCACAGAAGGCATTTTAGAGTTCTCGCTACTTCTAGTTCTGGTTGTTCTGTTCCCATAGAGGTGCAGGACTTTATGTTGCTGTGAATAATGAGCCCACATTCAGGAAAAATAGAACTGGCGATTAGAAAGAAAACTGTTTGGGGTTCAGAGGGTTAAAGCTCATCTGGCGTCGCAGTTTGACCTTATTTATGGGATGGCAATTTTTAACACATGTCCCTCGTGTGTGTCAGGCCTAAATATGCTCTGCTGGATGAGTGCACCAGCGCCGTGAGCATCGACGTGGAGGGAAAGATTTTCCAGGCTGCCAAGGATGCCGGCATCTCGCTGCTCTCCATCACGCACCGACCCTCCCTGTGGTAAGACGCACCGCACCGCAGAAACGCTCCGGCTTGGCGGTGAGTGAGCTTCTTTGAGAAACATCCCTGAAAAGTGCCCTGAATCGTTGCTCTCCGCCTCCACAGGAAGTACCACACCCACCTGCTGCAGTTCGACGGCGAGGGAGGCTGGCGCTTCGAGCAGCTGGACACGGCGACGCGACTCTCCCTCACCGAGGAGAAGCAGCGTCTGGAGGCCCAGCTGGCCGGCATTCCCGAGATGCAGCATCGCCTCAACGAGCTCTGCAAGATCCTTGGAGACGACTCGGTCCTCAGAACAGCTGAGGAGTGAGACGGGGAGGGGGAAAGAAAGAGGCCCGGTGTGGGGGGAAACGAAGAGAAGAAGTAGGGGAGGAGGAGAAGAAGAAGAGAGTGTGAGAGAGGCAATGAAAGAAAAAGAAACCTGGTTTGTTAGCATTGTTTTCAGACTTAGATTTTTTTTTTCTCGCTTGTTTAGATTTTCCTCTTTTTGCTCCGAGCCTCTCTTGTCAAAGCTCTCAATGCCCGCTTGTGTCCGAGCTCCCTCCTTTCTCTCCTGTCTCTTCTTTTCAGTCTTTTCCTTCAGCCCTGAGAAGCAGAGGAGGGGGAGAGCGAAGGGCATTCACGAGCGCTACTCCCCCTCGTAACGCACACCGACTGCACAGTCAGTCGCAGATTTTTTAAAAATGTGTCGCTTTCTAGCGGACGTGATTTGGCACCATCGATCTCGCCGCCGTTCCAAAGCGGGCAGAAGCGATGAATTCAAATTAACCGAGATAATGAATTTGTTTGCGATAAGGCAGGTTTATAGCACTTTACTCTGCTTTTAGAGGGCTGTTTCTGCTTTTTTATTTTGTGGTGAAATAATTTAGCTGGAAATCTTTTTTTTTTTTTTTAATGATAGAACCACTTTCATGTCCAAAGCAGTATTCCAGACCCGGTACAACTGGGCTCTGCAGGATCCACGTTTGTTTTTACCTCCTTAATTTAGCAGTAGGTTTTTACTGATGCGACCTCTTGGTGTCGGGAGGTCAAAAGAGACTATTTTTCATAATGTCAAAATATGCCTTTGTTTAGTTTGTGTGTGTATATAGCCACAGTACAATCCCTTTCCTTATACCTCATGTTGTTATTTCCGACCCCCTGAAACCACTGATACAGGCGCAGATGCAGACTCTGTCGGGTCTATTATTAGAACGATTAGTGACGCAGGTCTGACTCCTAAACTATAGGCTTCTGGTTAATTGAACAAACACAATGAGCTGGAGAGGTCCTCTTCAAGGGCGAGCTGACGCCGCCGGGAGTCTGGTCTTTCGGCGAGCAGTCACACGTATACGCTCTGATCAGGTAGCCGCTCGGACAACGTGCACACGCCGGACACCTGCATTGACTCGTCGGCAGTGCGGGTTCTTTTGAGTTGGGTTTAGTTGCAGGTTGATGGTTCTTGGACAGTAAGTTGATATGCTGGGCTAATCGTTGAAAGGAGATTTCTTATACATCTGACCTACTTTTAAATTCTTTCGTTCTGCAGTGCAATCCAATGTGATGAAGTGTGTGTTTACATGCGCTAAATGTTATGTTACGGTACTGTACGTGGAGCCTTGTTGGGCTGCGACCTATTTGGCTTGATTACGATGCGGCATATAACTCAATCAGCCACAACATTAAACCACTTGGTTAAGTTTCTCCCCTTTTATAGCTCAAATTATTCTGACCTTCATTCATGGAAGTTGTTTTGGTGCATCAGGCGGATGCTACGTCAACACCTTGGGCTCTTGGTTGTGTTCCTCGAGTACTTCCTGAGCAGTTTGTACGGTGGATGCATTGTCCTGCTGGGGCTTGTACTCGGTCTGCAACAATGGCTGCATTCCAAATCACACGCTTTGTCTTTTTGCTTTAAAGTAAAAAGAAGCTTTACCACAGCTGCCCTCACAGAGTACTTCTCGTTGAATGCCGTACGTATGCAGTTGGGACACATGACTACGTCATAATGTTGCGCCTTCCTCGTATGTCCGCCGCAGACTGTAGTGCAACACGAGTCATTTGTCTGTACTCTCAGGGCCTCGAGCTTGTTTATACTCGCCGGACACGTGAAAAAAAATTGTGACATAACCGCCGCACAGAGGATTGTGGGTCAGAGTGGCCGGAAAAAGCCTGCCGGCTCACGTGCTCCAAAATCTGACCGAATGTCGTCAGACATCTGGGTATTTTTAACAAACTACATTTGGCGTACTCTCTAGCGGGACTTACTGGGTCATCATCTGGCACACTTTGTAGTTTGATGGTATGGTGTGCACATGTCGAAGTAACATCGACGTGAACGCCAGGAGCCGAGGGTTCCCAGCAGAACAGTGCGATGCAACGAGATCGCCAACGTTTTTCACGTGGTTGTAATGTTGTGGCTGATTGATGTATACACTAGTAGGAAGGTTGTAAGCATAGACTGTATATAAAAGATGGATGCAGCACCCATGGTGTCACCCACTAGATTAGCCTTGAGTTTAACATTTTGTTCTTTCGAAACCAGATGTAAAGAATAAGCAGTTGATGAACCCAAGGATGCTACATTTAGTGATACGTTAGCGACCTGTTAATTACAAGGTAGCCCTGGTCTAAAACATAACTATTTTAAACTGAACCAGATCGTAATTTTAGTTAGCATCATGCTATATTCAAAACTAGCAATAGAGACCATGCACTAATAAGAAAAATGTTTACCCAGGTGTAAATTTAAGTGAGAAGTACGGTTGTTTTCCGATCGACTTCACCACATTTGAACTTCTTTTTGCAAACAGGAGTCGCCCCCTGCTGGCTGCTAGAAAGAATGCAGGTTTAAGGCACTTCCAGATTAGCTTCACGTTCCGCACTTATGTCCATCTTTTACATTCAGTCTATGGTTGTTCGTCAGTTATAAATTGCAGACCGTGGAGCTCATTTTCGGCCTCTTTGACGGCTAACGGCTGGTGTGATCATTTTCAAATTGCTGTTAAAGATCAGACGTTGTGATACTGTGAACCTCGTTACCTTGACATCACTTCGTTCTGATGTGAATGCTGTGGTCGCGGCTGCTAAAGGTCTCTTTTTGTGGTTCGAACCTGTGAACACGCTCACTGTGTCCTGCACAAACTAGGCAGATGTTTTGTTTTTTTCCATTTCAGACTGAGTTGTATGGAGATTTTGGAATAATCGACATTTAAAGGAGACGTTTGTAGGAACGGTAAATATGCTGCAACGGTGAAATTCACACAGGTCCAATCAGTGTCACTTCCAAGCTTGAGCGACAGGCACGGCGTAGGAATACCGAGTCATCTCGCTGGTTGTAATGCCACTGTTTGGCTAACACGCCTCTGTTTGTTAACGCGCCGCCACGTCGAACGGACAATCAGGCACATCATCAGCAGAACAGAAACAAGTGCTGTATTTCAAACTATACTTGTTATAATCCTCAGAGAAAAGGCTAAACGAGCTCTGATCCGAGTTACGTAAGTACACAGGCATTATCTGATTTGTTAGGGGGACTTGTAATGCATGTCAAGGGTTAACGCAGTTCCCTCGTTAGCCTGAGCTCATCCAAGATGTGTAGGATGCGACGTCTTTTGCCCCATTGCAGTTTTTAAACCCCCCCTCCCCCTCCCTCTCTCTTGGCTTTTAGTGGACAGAAAAGAAAGAAAAAAGGACTTCAGAGCATTTGGATGCAGCGCTGCTCTGCTCAGGATGACGGCTGCCAGGTTACTTACGGACAAACTTTTATCCCCCCTGAAATGTGACCGGAGAACAAAAAAAAGCGGCTGGCAGCATTCTCACGTGTCAGTGCATTCCTTTAAAATGTAAAGGAGTAATAGCTAAAATGATCTGGACTGCAAAAGACGAGGGGAGGGCATCGTCGCTGTGGGCCTTCACGGCAGCATTCAGCGCCGGAGCTTCTGACCCGAAACACATGGTCTTGTCAGGCCAACTCTGTTGACAGGAGGGCAGACGAGCCGCTGAATGACACAGAGTCAGCCGAGTGACACTGGAACATGAGGCCAGCCACAAACAGTGCCTGATATTCATCGGCATGACAACAGCTCAGTTTAATAGGGCAGGAAGACATGATGGAGGAGAGGATAAGAAATGATGAGGTGCCCCCTTTTTCTTTATTAGTCTGATTGCACTCGTGATTAGATTTAGTTCTGTTTTATGAATTTTCTTCTGGTTTGAGTGGGTGTGGGCTTCTGTGGCCTCCAATCATACGCCAAGACTGAGTCTAGCTGAAGCTAAAGCCGACAGTGCTGCTGTTAAAGAGCCCATATTTAGCTTTGTTCCTTTAGTTTGTTGTAACTTTTGTGCATGTAAAAGGTCTGTAAACTTAGATACGTCACGCATTTGCATTAGAGCGTGACAGGATGGACCCGTATTAAATTTATTTATATTGACCAATTTTGTATATATAGAGGATATATTAAAAAAAAACATTTAATCGTATACATTTTTTAAAAAGTGTGACATCACCTGAACTATATTTCTGAGCTGGAGCCAAACTAATTGGCATTGCATGTTCTATTCTATTTCATTGTTATTAACGTAATATTCACTAATGACGAATTTGTCTTATATTTATGTATATCAAAAACAACTTAAGTGAAATCCATGCTAAAGCGTTTAATGTCCATAACTTGATTTAATGGAGCTAGCTGTTGAGCTAGCTGTAAAATTCCTGCTACAGATTTACTCGCATTTCAGTAGATTCAACGCCAATCAGAAACTTGTTTTTTCGTACATATCAAAATGACATTTCAAGCAAATTATCGCTGGTAATGTTTAATTTTTCACAAATTCACAGTTTGCCAGGTCAAGTCCAGAATAGCAGCTGGGCTGTAAACGTTCAGGGAACATCTTTCTACGTATCCAGTGGAAACCAGACTTCAATTTTTAGCTTTTTTTTTTATAAATGTAGTGACTGGAATTGTTTGGCTTGGAAGGTGTGTTTAACTGTGAGTCTGTAACAGGCTAATGGTAGCATTAGTTAGCTTCGATGCTAACACATTGGCTTCTGCTCAACTGACAAGCTGGTAAAGTAGCTACATTGGCTAGCTTTGGAAAGTAGCTGGTTTGCTAAAAAGGTAATTTATCAAACAAATTTGACAAGCGTGAGTGACGTGATGGGGAGGTTAAAAGGCGGATATGTTGTTTATTGCTTTCCAGTGTCCCATGTTAACACTCGACAGGCTCAACACGCTGTCATCTGCAGAGCTGCAAAATTAATTGGAAGAGCTGCTCAGATGCTAACCTGTTTAAGTTAGCCACATTGCTAACTTAGCAAACAGATGTCATTTAAGCATGAGTGACATGATAGTTATCAGGGATGTGGCTTTGTTGGCATAAGTTTGAAAACAGAACATTATTTGTTTTCATTTATTAACTTTCCAGGAAATGTATTTCACAAACTAGCTAGCAGCTTCGGAGTTGGAGCACAAACGATATAATGTCACCATTTTTCACTAATCCCAAGCCTCTTTTTCTGCATTATGTTTTATGTTATTTAAAATAACCATAAATATCGAACGACATATATTCTGATTCCAGTATGGCTGTGATTGGCCTCGCTAATGAGTTAGTCACTCTCTAATTTGCATAACGGCTGCCTAGCGGCTCGTTTGGCCTCAAAAAAAACAAACAAGTCGCTTCCTAGCAGCCGCCATTATTTCCTCACCAGAGCTGCTCCTGTGAGGACTCCACGTCTTGCCTTGTTCCTCGCAGATCTGAATCCTTAACCAACATTACCTCGCTTTCATCAGGCCAGCAGACGGGGAGTAGATGGGAGCTAAAACGACGCATTTAAGACAGAAAGTGAGAAGAAATTCTGCAGCAATGTACAGTATAAGACAAAGGATGTGTTTTTCAACATTAAAGCATGCAAATATATTGTAGTAGACCCCAAAATGAAATAATGAACCTCTAAATGAGCATAATATGGGCTCTTTAACCAGTGAACTGCTCACTTGTGAGTTATTTATCAATGGAGCAGGTATTACTGCATATAAAAGCTGGGGAGGAGAGGGAATGTTAGCACCTGTAGCTGCTGGATTTGTAAAAAAAACATTGTTTACTAACTGAAAAGGTGATAATGGGTCAATGTCGTGTGTGCAGCTTGTTTCTGCTGCCCCCAAGTGACCAAAGATAGCAACAGCAGGTTTAATATTCCCTCACTTTTTCCAACTTTCTTTCACATACGGCTGCTAATTTGCACTTGAAATATGTCAGCATGGTCTGTTTGGCTTCTAGCAGCGGCACCTCATCGGTTCTTATCGATACAAGTTGACCATCCCCGACACTTTGATACCGACGCTTTCTCAGTCTATCATCCCAATTGTAAGTAACAGGTTGAATGTATCCCCCATGTACGATAACGATGAACTCCTAAGGTCAGGAAGAATACGCTCGGTCAGCTCGTAGGAGTTTCTTCTATTTTTTTTGGTTGACAATTGGTCATTTTCTGATTGTGTTGATAGTGCATGTTGCGGTACTTTATTAGAGCCACAGTGTGGTTTTAACCATTTAGATTTGCTGTACATGTGGTGTGTGAACTGGGATTACGGGACAGAAAGATGCTTCTCAGTTTGAAATTTCCTCCAACGGTACGGGACGGTCGAGTCGATGTCTACATTTCAGGATGTCATAGCAAATTTTTTGAGGTAATCGATACGACCGCGACGTACCACAGACCAGCATGCATTGATTCTCCCTTAAAGCCGGGGATTGCTACAGTTTCTTCACAATTACTTTAAAGAGAGAGGTCTGTTTTAAACCCAAACTCCCGCTCCATGTAACTGTTTTATATTTTTGAATTCCTCTAACAGCAAACCTTCTTTATCTCTTTAGTGTCACGTGTAGGATTCTGTATTCTTTAACCTCAACCGTCATGTCATCTGCTCAGAAATCCCACGCTAAGGTCACTTTACGACGAGAGATGAAGATGTATTTTTCTTGTAAATAAAACAATACAGTGCGACCTCGAAAAACTGAGTCCTTCCATGTTTGTGCCGTGTTTCTCCAGCAAAGGCGTCGACTTTAAAAATACCGTAAGTGATTAATGGGGTTATTTTTAGCTCATGTAGGTGGTTGATGAGCTTTGAGCTGTTGTTTTATTTTAATAGCGGGTGATTCTGTTGATTACAAATAGAAGCATCAGCACCCAGATTCTGAACTGTACATATGGTCATAAACTGTGAAATCTGATGCTTTTGTGGAGCTACAAACAAGAATGACGAGTAACAACAGGCTGCGAGAAAGACTGATGGTTTGAATTGAAGGCAAAATTTGTCTCAAAACAACAAAAGTGACAAAATGACAAAGCTGAGGCACAAGATAATGCTGGTAAGACAAAAAAAACAATGCAAAGGAGACACAAAAATGAAATAAAATGACTCAAACAAGACGTAAAACAACAAAAACAAAAGATAAAATAGTCACAATGGACACAATTACAAAATAAGTCTCCAGAGGAGCCTCTTGACATTTTCTGATGAGGCTCAATAGATGGATGTGAGGAAATATTACTCTGATTATCAAGAGGAGATCACATAGAACAGCCTCAATATGTTTTTTAGTGAAAGAGATAGTTTAAAGATTCAGAAATTTAGAGGAATTTTGTTGTTTACACACTTTTCCAGAGTCAGAAACTAATAAATGCCACCAAAGAGGTATTTTTCATGTCTTTGATGTGGTCAGAAGTTATGTTAAACAGCAATTTTGGGCTGTTTTGTTTTTGATCGCCTGTGGAATCAAATGACAAAATCATGATCCAGGAATTGAGTGAGTAAACCTAAAAGTTTAGCCTTAGACTTTGAAAACCACTGTGTAGCAGTTTGGAGGAGCGAAGTGGAGGCCTTTAACCCAAAGGACACCAAACCTACCATCAAGCATGGCGGTGGCACTATCATGGCAGTATTATCCTTATAACGTTGACACAAAGTAAAAGGAAGATTACCTCCAGATTCTTCGGGAAACCCCGAAGTCATCAGCCAGTAGGTTGGTCTTGGATTCAGTTGAGTGTTTCAGCAAGACAATGACCCCAAACACACATCAAAAGTGGTAAAGAAATCAAAGTCTTGACTTAAACCCCATCAAGAGCCTGTGGACTGTGATGAAGAAACAAGTCTGTCCAGAAAGCCAACAAAGGTCGTTAGACTGCACCAATTCTGTCAAGAGGAGAGTTCAAAGATGCAACCAGATACTTGTGGACGGCTGTCAAAAGCACCTAACTGAGGTAACCGGCCGAGGGATATTGTACCAAATATTAGCAGTGCTGTATGTATATTTTTGACCCAGTAGATTTCATCGTGTTTCCAGAAGACCTTCATTAAATCTATGAAAGAACCATAATTGTTTTTTATGAGACGCAGGAGTTTCAAAGATTCTAACATTGAAAACTCCAATTAGGAACCATTGGAAACTCTAGACTGCCACCATATGTGTACATAAACCTTTGGTCGCAATGGTATTTATAAAATTGGTGGCTCTGAATTCAGTTTTGACATCAGGCCAAAAAAAATTCCTGCCACTTTATAATGTAAATGTGTTATACAGGAAGTAACTGAAGAAAAGAAGGAAACTAAAACTGACAGAATCACCCTTTTTTTCGTACCTGACAGGACATGTAGGGAGGAAGTGAGGTCATAAATCAGACACACCTGTTAGCTGAGATGCTAACTAAAGCAACATGGAGGACAAGAGTGAGGGGAGTTGGGAAAAGGAGATTTCAGGAAGACCAATCCAGCTTCTATTTATCTTTAAACTGTGATGCATTAAAGTTAATGGAACAGCTTTGGAACCAAAAACCAGCTAAATGTTTGAAAGACTCCTGGTCCACAAGGAACAGAAGCAGGACTGGATGCACCTGATCCCACCAACAGCTGCCTGGATGTCTGTGTTGGACCCTGGTTGAGGTACGTCTAGTTTTTACTTCCAAGGCTTCTCTTCACCTTCAACACTCCTATACCACATATAAATTCACCCAAAACCCTTAAAACTGAACTAAAAAGCATTGATGCTAACTGAACAAGCTGAAATGATCACTTCTAGAACTGATGATATTTGGAAGTTTTGCTTAATTAATTAAGAAGCTTTTTAATTTGCATAATCAAGATGCTGAAACTGAATTTTCAGATTTGTTTTACTTGTTGTTCTCGGTGGTACGCAGCCTGACTTAAATACTGAAATTCAAATCGATGGCTATGTTTCTTTGTTCTGTCGTGTCTGGTTTTGTACCGAGGATGTCTGATATCTTTCAAAGTGAAAATCAGCTTTTACCCCCCCATGTGGTAATCAGTTTGACTAATTAGCGATATTTACATGGATAATTTCAACACTGAATTTACAAGATTTCTAGCTTTCGTAAAAGTTTCCTTCAGAATTTGTTGTATAAATTTTAGATACTAACTAAATCTGATGTGATGAATTTGATAAACAGCCATGTTTCCATCCTGCTCACTGACTTTGGTTCAAAATGTTCCGTCGTCTGTTATCTTAAGATCCAGGAGCTGCTAAATAGATCATTAAAGATGTCTGACTGCTAGCTGCAAACATGCTGTGATGAAGAGAAGGTGGAGTGAAATTAGGTCACAGCAAACATGCTTGAAGCCATCTGCTGGTTGTTGGGTCCCACATCACTCTAACAGTGCAGTAGCATAAATGGAGCACTAGATGGCAGCATGTCAGCAGCCAGGATCAATAACTCAGGACGCCATGAAGTCAAGGAAATGTAGGACAGTGGTTTCATATTAAATAAAAGCAGAATGGACTTTAGTTTGATTTGATGGGAGTTTTTAATTGATTTATTTTGTTGTAGTCTTTATATCGCTACAGGTTTCGAATATAAAATCTGCCCTCCTTCTTGTAAGACTTGCTTTTAGTTTGATGATCCCAATACAGTCTATGGATTTTTTTTTAAGTTAAAATAAGCAATGCAAAAAAAATAAACACACTTTTAATTGTGTATTATCTTTACTTTTACTGTGTACTTTTAAATACACAGTAAAGAAAATAAAAAATCTGTGGAGTTTTTCCTCTTTTTTTTTTTCCTTATTATTTTTGAAATACACAAAAATATTTTTTAAAAAGTAGAAAATTGACAGTCAATCTATATGTCTAATGTCAAATAATATTTAAAATGTGTAACGACGAATAACCATAAAATTTCTGTCTTTTTCTAGAAAATAGTTTTATTTTTATTTGTAAAATTATTGAATAAATTGTAAATATTAACAGTAAAACTGCAGTTAATGGACAACGGCTTGTGATTATAAATACAATAATAAACTGTTAATTAAAGCAAAAAATATATATAATTATATTACATAATATTTAATAACATATACACTATTTACAAGATGTTTCTGTAAAGTCACATATAAAAAATAATCTGAATAAACAGTTTATTCTTAAATAATATTATTTTTACTATCTACTATTGCTGAACAGATTTTCCATGTTTTGTTAAATTGCAGATAATATCTGGTAAAATCTCAGCAAAAAAGAAACACAAACAGTAAGTTCATCTTTAACAATGTGGGATTTTAAAATTACATAATTTCACTATAGTTATGTAATATGAAAATATTATTTTACAGATATTTGCTGTTATTTTATCATTTTTAGTTTTTGAATACTACAGCATTTTTTAAAGTATTTTTTCTGACACCATATTTTCTATTGTTATTATTTTTCTATTTATTTTATTTTATTTTTATTATTTTATTTTATTTTATTATTTTATTTTTTTTAATTATTATTATTTTTAACAGAATGAGTTTTTCCAGTGTCTCTCATGGTCTTTTTTTCGACCCATAAAGTCTGATTTCTATTAGAGGGAGTCTCTGAGCCTTTCTGAGAGACAAAGTACAGATTATTTGTCATTTATCTCCTCTCCTCTGCTTCCACATCCCTCTTAAAGCGCACAGAGCATTAATATGATGATCCAGCTCTGATGCTGCTGTGCCTCCGGTCCTCCCCTGTCCGTCTGTCTGCTTGGTACAGCTCGGGAGGAGGAGGAGTCTGATTACGTCTTGGAGACTCACACGCTGAGCGGATCCTGGCTCTCCCACAAACAGCGCGCTCCACCCGGCCTGGAGGCTGCGACGATGCCCGCTGGACAGGCTTTTACCACCGGCCGGAGCCTGAAACGCGCCGAACCAAGCATGGAAACCCAATAAAAAAAAAAAACCCGCCCTCACCAACGGCCGCTCCGTGGCGTAAAAATCATGCGCCTCGTATCCAAGCGGGCGTCTCGGAGGTGAAAGCGGCGGCGGAGGCTCAAGATAGAAGGCTTTATTAGTGAGAGGTGTCGGGAAGGGAGGGAGGGGGCCCGCGGCGCTGTCTTGTCTTCTAAGAGGATAAAGGAAAAAGGGAAATCAAGCTATTTTTACGCGCGGTGACACCATGAGCGGCGCGCCGGATGAGAGCTCGGTGCGCGTCGCCCTGAGGTAAGGATGCTGACCCTCCTCTCCAAAGATGCTCCTGTGGCACACCTGCTTTCAGGAACATGCATTTGTTATAATCCCTGCTTTTATTATCTCCAGCACCCAGGATTGCAAACAAAACCCACATAATTTAGTCCTTTTATTTTGACGCTCTTCTCCTCAGATTTTACGCAGCTTCTTTTGTTAACACCTGCACATGCCTCGCAGTGGATTTATGAATGAAGATGAAGCTGGGATTAGGGGAGAGTAAATCCTCTTGTGGTCAGAACAACACGCATTATTTTACACCTCAGTGTTCAGGGGCTTCCAGAGAGCTTCATACATTTGCTGTATCATGCTGATCTGACCCTTGTCCCCTCAGGACAGACAAACTGGGATACAACCACAGTCCGATCACTGGTTTTAGTGGAATCAAACAAAGGCCCAGACACTGTAGCACACAACAGATCAATGAGAGCATCAATGCAGTGACATGATAGGGCTGTAAATGTGTGCGCTGAAACCTGAAATGTCATGTGGACTGAGTGGAACAGGGAGAGAGAGGACAAAAGCGCCTCCCTCTCATGTTTCCCTTCTTCTCTGCTTGTTGTTGTGCATTCAGACTTTGACCCAGAACTCTGTTTACTGAGCCAACTCAGTTTACAAGCCTCTCCGCTGCACAGATAATAAATAATCAGCCAGGTTCTTTCGTTCTGCTCATATTGTGAGATTAGCTAAGCTGCTTTTCATATAGGAAATCATCTCTTACCTGCCTGTTGTAATTGGGGTTTTTATTTGGAAAGCTCAGGCTCATGAATTATTTGGAGAGCTGTGCGGTCTTGTTTGCAGGTTGGGTTTCCATTTGTGGTCCCACTGGTTTGTTCTTTCATTCATGAATTCATTCATTCCCTCGTGGGTCATCAGTTGTTCTGCAGTTTGGCTGCAACTTTTGAGCAGATATTTGGTCCAGAAAGTGTCTCCTAAAGCCCAAAATGAAGTAAGTTTACCATCACAGAGGAGTAAAGAAACCAGAAAATGTTCAAATTTAAGAAACTTGAGGAACATTTTTGACTCATATTGCTTAAAAATGACTCAAACCGATTATCAAAAATAGTCAGTGATTAGTTTATTAGCTGACAACACCCACCCTGCCCTCAGTAGACATGTTGAGGTTGCACAATGTAAAGGTTTTTATCTCCTCTTTTATGTGATAAATGCACAAACTGAGGGAGCTAAAGGTCAAAGGAGAAACATTTTGTTCACAAAACTAGCGGTCATTAATTCACCACCGTGATTCTGCATTTAATTAAGAGTCTGCTCTCTGCTCAGGTCAGCGGAGCCACCTGAGAATAATCCCTCTTTCTTCTGCACAAAGGTGATCCACTTACTGTCACGCTGACCTTAAACTGCGAGCTCACAAAGTGCATTAATTTTCCTGGATCGCTCAAAGGCACCTTCCTCCACCACAAATATAACATAAAATGTGCTTTTTAGTTTAATTAAAATCTGTTGTTTTCTGTGTTTCTGTGTAAATATGACTGGAAACATCAAAAGTCGATAAAGGGAACTCTAAAAACATTTAACGTAGGTGATTATTTATTGAGGAAAATGATCCAATCTCATGTCTTTGAGCGGAAAAAGTGTAAGAACCTATCAGGTTTTGAGTTAATTTGAGCGTCTGTAGTTTTCAATCAATCAGGTATGACTGTGTAGTGTGTTCTATGTAGTTAACTGGGATGTATCCGATCCTCGAAGCACATTTGTGGAAGTGCATCATGGATTTCCGAGGAGTTGTTGATGTTCGTCAAGCTGGAAAAGGTTCCTGATTTATCTGTAAAGAGTTTCCACCAATAAGCAGTCAGGCATGCCGCGTACAAATGGATGAAAACCAAAGACCACCACCAGCATCCCCAACGGTTCTCAACACTTGAACAATACCGGTGTGGAAGGAGAAAAGCTGCTACTAGAAGGCTTTTGGAAAGTGTTGTGTGAACAGATGAGACCAAAATGGGTCTTTTTGGTTTAAATAAGGAGCGTTATGTTAACAACCTTATCCCATGTGTGAAGCACGGCGGTGGCAGCATCATGCAGCGGGCCTGTTCTTCCGCATCACGGCCGTAATTATGTGAACGATGACTTCTGAATTGTTCCAGTGAATCGTAGAAAGTGGGTCATGCAGCCAGGCAACAACCCTCGGCACACGAGTGGCTCCACCGAAGAACAGTTAAAGTTAATGTTTGGAAATGGTCGAGTCAAAGTCCTGACCTAGATCCAGTAGATATGTATAGACAGACCTGTGGTGGGCAGTTTATGTATGAATATTAAACTGTATAGTGGTTCTTTTTCTACTATTGTAAGACAAAATATCGCTTGTTTAGAAAGACATTTTCAGAAAAAAATACATTTAAACGTAAAAAAGTCAAAGTTAAAGCTGCTCTAATCAGTATTTCTTTTATAAACAGTGGATCTGATGCCTGTGTGCAGTTTAAAAGTTGACGTTTGTATGAGCAGCTTCATCTTGTTTGCATTTGTCAGTTGATTGTTTTGGTTTACCAACTCGACTTTAAAGATTTGTTCAGCCAAACTTTTTTTTTGTTAAAGCGTCAGGCAGCTATTTTTAAGTAAATGAACTCCGCTACAGTGACTGTATGCTGCCTGTCCGGTACCGAACAGCTGACGGACAAGCAGTTATGTTCGCTAGCTAGCAGTTAGCAGCTAGCTAGTGAACATAACTGCTCGTCTGGTAGCAAACAGCTGACGAACAAGCAGTTATGTTTGCTGATGAGCAGTTAGCATCTAGCTAATGAACATAACTGCTCGTCCGGTACCAAACAGCTGACGGACAAGCAGTTATGTTCACTAGCTAGCAGTTAGCAGCTAGCTAGTGAACATAGCGGAGCAATAAATAAGCTACAAATAGTTATTTTAGGAGTTTTCTATATACATAAAAGAAAATGTGAGTGACTATTGAGCTTAATTTTGTTAGCACAACAAGCTTTAAATAAATACGAAGTTTCTGTTATATCTATAAATAGGCATGTGCGTGCTAACATGTTAGCCTCAAACACAGTAAATGCTAAACAAATGACTGTAATGACTCTGCAAGTGGCCAAATCAATATATTAATGCAAATGTAGCTAAAATAAAGCTTTAATATACAACATTTTCATTGAACGACTGTTATAATTAACAATTTAATGATGTAAGTGTCTTTTTTTTGTACATTTTTTTTTTTAGCTTTAGGTAGTTGTGCTAGCGCCATTGACCGCCACCGTTTCGCTGCAAATGTCGGACTTTCCTTTATTGATTAACTTTGCTGTGATTTTTCAACTAAATCTGTGGCGTTAATGTCATTAGAAAGGTCACATTTTAGAACTAAATGCCCCGCTGATGCCATTAAACCCTAGCTGAAGAAGGGGACGTAAATAAATAGGTGTAAAAATAACGACTAAAATATGACATTTCAGCTAGTTTCTTCGAGCTGTTTTTTTTATACATGTGAATGTAAGTGATTCTAACGATTATGCAAAATGATTGTGGTCAACTGATTAAATCAGGTGATTTTATAATAACTGCGACAGTCCTGCTGTTCTGCACTGCTGCTGTAATTATGCTTGTCCACACACAAACTGCACTGAGCTGATAATGGTCGAGGCTACGATGTGCAGGTTTGAGCTTTTTCTGTATTTTCACTTGGGAAAACAGCAAACGGAGACTTGACAGCAATAATTTCCTCAGTTTGATGCTTTTTTTTAAGCTTTTCTCATATGTCTGTGCTACTCCAAACTTTAAAAACGACATAAAGACGAGACAGAAGAACCCAAAATGCGGCGTTAAGCAACCATTGGACTCACTGTGGGAACAAATATAAAGATATTTTTTTAAATTAAACAATCGCTGCTGATGAAGCTGGAGGCCATCTGTAGCTGAAAGTATAATCGATGATAACTGGAAGTCGCCAATAAATCACAGCCTTCACGCCGTACCCTCACGTCGCTGTTTTCGACTCGATTAATCGCCGTGGCAACATCCTAATTATTTTGGGGCTTTCGAGTTTCTTAAAGATTTCGACTGTCAGCTTTTTTTTCCACCTCTGTAATAGTTTAGTTTAGCTGTGTGTGTGTGTGTGTGTGTGTGTGTGTGTGTGTTGTCAGTAATCAGGTAGCAGGTTGCCAACGTGTACCTGCCTCAGCCTGCGGAGCTTAATGCTGTCTGTTAGCGGCCTCCTAATCCCCATCACAAGAGCTCCGAGTGATGAAATGCTCCTTTATCATCTTCTTTTTCTTTTTTTTTTGTGGTAACAGTCAGAACAAGAAAAGTCGGATCCCTGGAGCCCAAACAGAGGGACGGAATCACAGAGCAGTTTTTGTTTCTTCTTGATTTATGACTGGAAAGATGACGTAACCTGAAAATCTGTTTGCTTTGTGTTGTTTTTTTTAGAAAGAGAAATTGCTTGTTGATGGATCTTAGATGTGTTTGCTTTGCTGTTGTCTTTGGGGTTTTGAAGATTCACACCTGACAGATGGGGCACTCTTCAGCTGTTGGATGTTTCTGCAGATATTTCGTGTTTTCTGGGTTTTCCCTCGAGCCACCAGACCTTACGTAACGTCACGCACGGCCATGCATGAGCAGCTCCTCACACATATTCCACGAAAAAGTTAAAGGTTGATCCGAGGCTTTGCCTGAAGGAGCCGGTCCGGTGATGTATTAGTCCGTCCATATCCTTGAAGCTTTAATAATTGAGAACCTGCAGCCAGAATTAGCCAGAGAGGGATCAGGTTTCCTGCTTAGTTTTCCTTTTTAATTAGAGGAGTTGCAGTGAGTGCTTTTAAAAATGCATTTTTAATTATCTTTTAGAAGTTGTAGGGACTTCTACAGGCTGCAGCAGGAGGATCAAATCTGCTTGTGTTTCAGTTGCATCGGCAGAAATTGACATTATCTGCTGAGAAACAGAATCACTGTCCTGCAGTTTATTATTCAACTTTAAAATATTCTGTCTGGTACATTTATGTAAAAACAAAGTA